CAGCTAACATCACACTCAATAGTGAAAAGCTGAAAGCTTTTCCTCTAGGGTCAGGACCAAGACAGGGATGCCCACTCTCACCACTGGAAGTCCTAGCCACAGTAATCAGACAAGAAAAAGAAATAAAAAGCATCCAAATTGGTAAGAAAGAGGTTAAACTGTCACTATTTGCAGATGACAGGACACTACATATAGAAAACCCTAAAGAATCCAACAATAAATCTACAAAATCAACATATGGAAATCTGTTGCATTTCTATATACTAATGACTATCAGAAAAAGAAAGAAAATAATTGCATCAAAATCAATAGTATACCTCGGAATATATTTTTTTAAGATTTTATTTATTTATTCATGAGAAACACAGAGAAGAAAGAGAGGCAGAGACACAGGCAGAGGGAGAAGCAGGCTCCATGCAGGGAGCCTGACGTGGGACTTGATCCCGGGTTTCCAGGATCACGCCCTGGGCTGAAGGCGGCACTAAACCACTGAGCCACCCGGGCTGCCCAACCTCAGAATAATTTTAACCAAAGAGGTGAGAGATATGTACTCTGAAAACTATAAGACATGAAAGAAATTAAAGATGACACAAATAAATAAAAAGATATACCATGCTCATGGATTGGTAGAATTAATATTGATAAAATATCCAGAGGCACCTGGGTGAGGTTCAGTAAATTAAGTGTCCGACTCCTGATTTTGGCTCAGATCATGATCTCAGGGTCCTAAGTTCAAGCCCTGCATCAGGCTCTATGCTCAGTGCAGAGTCTCCTTGTCCCTCTCCCTCTCCCTGCTTGCTCTCAGTCTCTCTCAAATAAATAAAATCATAAATAAAATAAAATGCCCATACTACCCAAAGCAATCCAGATTCAATATAATACCTATCAAAATACCAACAGCATTTTCCACAAAACTAGAACAAACCTAAAATGTTTATGGAAGCACCAGAGACCCCAAATAACCAAAGCAATCTTGAGAAAGAGGAACAAAGCTGGAGGTATCACAATCTTAGATTTCAAACTATACTATGAAGCCATAGTAATCAATAAACCATGGTGCTGGCACAAAAAGAAACACATAGATCCATGGAACAGTATAGCAAGCCCAGAAATAAACTCAAGGTTATAATGGTGAAATTAATCTATGACAAAAGAGGCAAAAATATACAATGCGGAAAAGACAGTGTCTTTAATAAATGGTGTTGAGAAAACTGGATAGCTACATGCAAAAAAATAAAACCGGACCACTTTTTTACACGACATAGAAAAAATAAACTCAAAATGTATTAAAAACCTCAATATAAGACCTAAAACCATAAAACTTCTTAAGGAGACATAGGCAGTAAACTCTTGGACATCAGCCTCAGCAATATTCTTTGTTTATGCCTCCCCAGGAAAGAAAAGCAATGGCAAAGACAACTAAAACATCAAACTAAAAAGCTTTTGCATGGTGTAGGAAACCACCAACAAAACAAACAAGGCAACCTGCTGAATGGGTGAAGATATTTGCAGATAATCTATCTAATAAGGGGTTAATATGCAAAGTATATAAAGAACTCATACAACTCAACATCAAAAAATCAATCTGATTAAAAACTGGACAGAGAACCTAGGAATATATATTTTTCCAAAGACGACATATAGGTTGCCAATAAGTACATGAAAAGAGCTCAGCATCACTTATCAGGGAAAGTCAAATCAAAACCACAGAGACATCACCTAACACCTGTCAGAATGGCTATTATCAAAAAGACAAGAATAACAAGAGCTTGCGAATATATGGAGAAAATGGAACCTCTCTGCATTAGTTGTTGGGAATATAAATTAGTCTAGTCACGACAGAAAACAGTATGGAGGTTCCTCAAAAAACTGAAAGTTATGGGATCCCTGGGTGGCGCAGCGGTTTAGCGCCTGCCTTTGGCCCAGGGCACGATCCTGGAGACCCAGGATCGAATCCCACGTCGGGCTCCCGGTGAATGGAGCCTGCTTCTCCCTCTGCCTGTGTCTCTGCCTCTCTCTCTCTCTATGTGACTATCATAAATAAATAAAAAAAAAAATTAAAAAAAAAACAAACTGAAAGTTAGAAATACCATATGACCCAGTAATTCTATTTCTGGGTATTTATTCAAAGAAAATGAAAACACTAATTCAAAAACATACAAGCACCCCTATGTTTATTGCAGCATTATTTACAATGGGTAAGACATGGAAGCAACCTGAATGTCTATCGATAGTTGAAGGACTAAAGAAAATGTGGTGTATATATACAGTGGAATATTAGTTATAAAAAAAGTGAAATCATACATTCACAATATGTACGGAATTAGAGTGTTATGCTATATTAATCAGAAAAAGACAATTACCACGTTTTCACATTTATAGAATCTAAAAAATAAAACAAATGGAAACAGATTCACAAATACAGGGGAAAAAAAAAAACCTGATGGCTAAAAGAAGGGAAGGGGCTGGAAAGAGGTGAAATAAGTGAAGGGGATTAAGAAGGGCAAACTTCCAGTTAGTAAGTCAGTCACAGGATGAAATGTACAGCATAGGAAATACAGTCAATAATACTGCAGTAACTTTATATAGTAGTAGATAACTACACTTATGCTGAGCATTTCATAATATAGTTGTCAAACCACTGGATTGCACAGCTGAAACTAATATATTATGTCAATTATACTTCAATTAAAAAAATCTACAACTTAGTAATAAAGAAAACAACCCTATTAAAAAATGGGCAGGGGCACCTGGCTGGCTCTCAAGAGAGTGTGCCACTCTTGATCTCAAGATTTTGAGTTCAAGCCCCACATTGGGCATAGGGAAACTTAAAAACAAAATCTTGGGACACCTAGGTGGCTCAGCAGTTGAGCATCTGCCTTTGGCTCAGGGCGTGATCCCTGAGGGCTGGGATCAAGTCCCACATTGGGCTTTTTGCATGGAGCCTGCTTCTCCCTCTGCCTGCGTCTCTGCCTCTCTCTCTGTGTCTCTCATGAATAAATAAATAAAATCTTTTAAAAAAAAAATCTTAAGGGAAGCCTGGGTGGCTCAGTTAAGTGTCCAACTCTTGATTTCGGCTCAGGTCATGATCCCAGGATTGTGGGATCGAGCCCTGCATCAGGCCCCATGCTCAGCAGGGAGACTGCTTGAGATTCTCTCTCCCTCTGCTCCCCCACCCCCACCCAACTCATACTCTGTCTAAAATAAAATAATAAATATTTTAAATATTTTTTTAAATGGGCAAAGTATTCAAATAGACATTGCTCCAAAGAGATATACAAATAGCAAATAATCACATGAAAAGATGCTGAATAGCACTAGTCAGTAGGGAAATGCAAATGAAAGCCAAAGTCAGATATCACTCCATACCCACCAGTATGGCTATTAGGAAAAGGACAGATGATAGGAAGTACTGACAAAGATGTGGGAAAAGTAGAACCCTAATGCATTGTTAGTGGGAGTGTAAAATACTGCAGCTGCTTTAGAAAACAGTGTGGCAGTTCCTCTAAAAGTTAAACAGTTATCATTTGATCAACAATTCCAAGAAAAATGAAAACATACGTCCACACAAAAATTTGTACATAGATGTATGTAACAATATTCATAATAGCTAAAGAGTAGAAACAATCCAAATGTCCATTAACTATTGAATGGGTAAACAAAATGTGGTATATTCATACCACATATTATTATTCAGTAATTAAGTATTGACAACACGCTACATGAATGAACCTTGAAAATGTTATGCTAAATGAGACACAAAATAGGATGTATTGTATGATTCCATCTATATGGAATGTCCACAAATCCACAGAGACAGGAAGTAGACTGGTGTTCTTTTAAGGTAATGGTAGAAGTAGAAGTGACTGTAAATGGGTATGAGATTTCTTTTAGGGACAAATAAACAAAATGCTCTTAAATGGGATAATGGTAATAACTGCACAATTCTGTGAATATACTGGAAATCACTGAATTATACCCCTTAAAGATATGAATACCATGCTATGTGAATTTTATGTCAATAAAGCCATTAAAAAATACTCTATTGAACAGATGAACATTAATTATTAACAAACATTGCTTCCAATGTATCTATTCTACCTAACACTGCTGTGAACATTTTTGCGCCTAGGCTTTGATCATATATAATTAAGAGTATGGATTCTTGGGGTACATGGGGGGCTCACTTGGAGTGTGCAACTCTTGATCTCAGGGTTGTGGGTTCAAGCCCCATGTTGGGTGTAGAGATTACTTAAAGTTAAAATCTTAAAAAGAAAAAAAAAGAAAGGAAAAAAAGAGTACGGATTCTTTAAGGATTTATTTGAGAGACAGGGAGAGCAAGCAAGCACACATACACATGCATTAAGTGAGAGGGGCAGAGGGACAGGAAGAGAATCTCAAGTAGATTCCCAGCTGAGTGTGGAGCCCCAAGGCAGAGCTGGATATCATAACCCTGAGATCATGACCTGTGCCAAAATCAAGAGTCAGACACGTAACCAACTGAGCCACCCAGGAACCCCAAGGAGTATGAATTCATAAACACTGCTTCAGTGAGAATCTTGGCTTGAGCAGTGATATGAGCGACGCCTGGGCAAGTCACTCAACTACTTCATGCCTCAATTTCTCCATCTATCACGTGAAGTAACAGTAGTCACACCCCTTGGATTCTAAGGATCAAATTAAGTAAGGGCTTTGCATAGTGCCTGTCACATAGTAAACTTTCAACATTAGTAGTTATAATTGTCATTCTGGTTTGTATTATTTTCTTCTTTTCGATTTTTCTTTCTTTTTTTAAGATTGATTGACTGATTTATGAGAGACAGAGAAAGAGAGAGAGCGGCAGAGACATAGGCAGAGGGAGAAGCAGGTTCCATGCAGGGAGCCTGACGTGGGACTCAATCCCGGGTCTCCAGGACCGCACCCTGGGCTGAAGGTGGCGCTAAACCACTGAACCACCGGGCTGCCCAGATTTTTCTTTTTTAATTGGGATTTAACTTACAAAAAATATGAAACGTTACACGAATTTGCATGTCATTCTTGCACAAGGGCTGTACTGATCTTTCCTGTATCGTTCCAATTCTAGTACATGTACTGCCAAAGCACACGCTCTGTTATTTTCTTAAGATGATTTCCGGAAGTGGTGTCACTAGGTCAAAACCCATGAACATTTATGTGTCTGAATATGTTTTGCCAAATCACGTTTCAAAGGAGGTGCACTAACTTTTGATGCCAATAGTAAATATAGGAGAGAACCAAGGTACCCACGCCATCATCAACACTATGTTACAGTAAATTTGTTTTGTTAACAATGTCTCACTTTGCTTATGGCCCTTAGCATCTTGAAACCCAACAGTTTTCTATGAATCCTACATACCATGATGAGTACTTAACTGAATGTGAAATCTGTGCAGACCCTACACTGGGAGCCACAGTGGAAACTAAAATGAGTAAGGCCAAGGATTTTGTGTGAGGCAAAGCAAAAAAAACATTTTAATTCAAGATAACTGTGATTAAGTATGAGAGAGTTACAAAGTATTTATAAGGGTAGGGAAAAGATGGCAGTTTATAAAGCAGGGAAAAGAGGGCAGTGTTCCAGCTGGTTCTTGAAGAATGGACATTAATTTCAACTGGCAAGGGTGTGGCAAGAGTAAAATCAAGGCTGGTGGAAGAACACGGCACATTCCAGGGCTGTGGCTTGAGTACAAAGTTGCTAGCGGGGAGAAAGGTGAGACAAGGAGGCACAGGGTGCTCTAGAAGCACAAAAAGGACCCTCTAAAACACAGCCAGGGACTACGTGAGCTGAGGGGGAGGGTTTCTCACAGGGCAAATAGCATGCAGAAAGACACAAAGACGTGAATCATCATGACCCATCCAAGGAACCGCATGTAATCCAATTTGGCTAGAGCGGAGAGTACATGTGGAAAGGATGCAGATGATGCTAAATAAATAGGCAGAAGCTGACTGTGAAGGACTTTGTGTGCCAGAATAAAGCATTTGAACTTTATTCCAAAGGAAATAGAGAACTGAAGCATTCTTAAGGAAAGAAGTGACAATCAGACTAGCTTAAAAAAACTACTCTGGCAACCCTCCAACAGCTTCCCAGCTCACACAGAATAAAACCCAAAGTCCTTATTACACTTAACACCCTACATGCTGGTCAGCGGCTCTCTCTGAAAATATTTTCCTATTTCCCCTCCTCTCACTCTGTTTTTGCCACACCAGCCTTCTTGCTATACCCCCTCCAACATGCCTCTACTGAGACTTCTGCACTTGCTGTTCCCTCTGCCTGGAACTCTCCCCTGGAGACACAGTTTGCTCCCTCAGTTAGGTTTCTGTTCAAATACTTTCTTATCAGAGAGGCCTTCCCTGTTACCCAATATAAAAGAACAAGAAACAAAAGCAATCAACTCTATCATTTTTCTCCTCCACTTGCCACCTGGCACATATATTTACTTGCCTATTGCTTGTCTCTCCTTACTAGAATTAGAATATAAGCTCCATGACAGAGCCTCTCTCAATAACCCTGTGATATAGAACTGTTATTGCCACTTCCAGATGGTGAAATTAAGGGGCACAATATTGCCAGTGAACAATGGAACCAGGCACAATGACTCCTGAGCTTGCAACTCTAACCCATTTCACATAGTGTCAGAGGTCCTGACTTTGATACTAGATCATTTCCTGTGAATAGGCTCCATCCTGACAAGTTCTATGACAGTAAAAACTGAATTCACACTATGTCCTAAAGAGATATGGATCCTTACCACTGGTTATTAGTCAAGTTTCAAAAGCCAGGAAACATTTTTTTAAATGACCAACTAAAATACACAAGGTATCTGGACTTTATCCAGCAATAAGCTGTGTTTTTTTCTTGTGTAGGACCCAGAGAGATTAAAACAAGATGAAACAATTTTATGAAACTAAAAGGAACATAGCATAGGACACCAAAACTACTTTTTCAAGACCATTTTTCAAGCAGAATATTAACTTCTGGTATAAAATAAACTCCATCTTTAAGATAATCATTATAATTTTCTGAGGTTATCACCACCAAAGGAAGAACACAGTATCTACCTGGAAAATATCGAGTAAATATTGTATCATATGCAGATACATATCCCGATTCTTTCCCTACTCCTCAGATTACTAATTTCTTCTTCCCTGATTATTCTTTCAACCTAGCTCCCATTATTGAGAGAACCCCTTCCCAAAATGTTGTCCTCAATTAACACCTTTTTTTCTGTTAACTACTTCATACCAGAACTTACCACTCAATTCCAGCTACTTCCTCTATTATAACTAAATCTAGTTATAATTTCTTTTTTCTCTTCTGCATTTTTTTTAAATTTTTTTTAATTTTTATTTTATTTATGATAGTCACACACAGAGAGAGAGAGAGGCAGAGACACAGGCAGAGGGAGAAGCAGGCTCCATGCACCGGGAGCCCGATGTGGGATTCGATCCCGGGTCTCCAGGATCGCGCCCTGGGCCAAAGGCAGGCGCCAAACCGCTGCGCCACCCAGGGATCCCTCTTCTGCAGTTTTTGATCTCCAATCACCCGACCATAGATACTTCGGGGCCCTTTTATATCCCTACCTTTTTAAAGAAAATCACCTTTTCAAAATTGGCCTCTTTTCTACTTCATTAATCTGTATTATCTGGCTACTTTCCTAGGCTTACAACTTTAATATATTTTTTTCTCTATCTTATCAACAGGACCTGCCAAATGTTCACTGTGTTTCCTACTTCCTTACTTTCCAAATTGGTATCTATCACCATATTCTGGGTTTTCTTCATTTCCTTCCTGAATTACCAGAGTTCTCCAGCTGACCTATTTCCAGCCTACTCACTCACTTCCATTCATTCTGTACATACTGCCAGTAAAGCTTCTCTCTCACACAGTATACTCCCAATTCAAGGACTTTCTTTCTTTCTTTCTTTCTTTCTTTCTTTCTTTCTTTCTTTCTTTCTTTCTTTCTTTCTTTCTTAATTCAAGGACTTTAAATAGTTCTCCAGCACAACAGATCCAAACTTCTCAAATCTGCACTCAGGGCCTTCTACTGCTTCAGAATGTCACTAATAAATGTTTACCTTAAACATTCTAAGACAAATCCCCAGGAAACCAACATCTTGATCTCTTCTATCTGAATCAGTGCAATGTATACTATAGGTCTGAAGACCACCATCTTCCACTTGACTTCCATCAGGCAATGAGAATATATTAATCTATCATTTCCTAAACATCTCAAGTTACTATAGGAAGGATTCATTTTCAAAAGCTGAACTCTTCTAATCAGCAAAATGGAAGTGTGTACAGTTATCAGAAAATAACACCTTATATATCCCTAGTGAAAGTACAAAGTAGTAAAATATTTTAAAGGTGAATTTGCTAACATCTTTAAAAAGTTTAAGTGCAAAATATTCTTCAGCCCAGCAATACTTCCAGGAAATTATCAGTATTCTCACAGAAGAAGAATTATATGCAGAAGGATATTAAGCACAACATAACTCCAACAGTTTAAAACAACAGGACACAACTCAAACTTCCTTACTGGAAGTAAGGAACCTCAAGATCAAGACCTGATATTTACATACATTATGAAATGTTCACCATAATGAGTAGTTTACCACCTGTCAGCATACAAAGTTACTACGTTATGGACTATATTACCTATGCTGTACTTTACATCTCCCGATTTATTTTATAACTAGAAGTTCATAGTTCATAATCCCCTTCACCTATTTCATCCATTCTCCTGCCCCCTCCTCTCCGATAACTACCAGTTTGTTCTCTGTATTTATGAGTCTGTTTCGGTTTTGTTTATAGATCCTACCTAAGTGAAATCAAAGGTATGTGTCTTTCTCTAACTTAGCATATAATAAAAAAAAAAAAAACTTAGCATATAATACCCTCTAGGTCCATCCATGTTGCAAAGGGCAAGATTTCATTCTTTTTTATAGTTGAGTAATATTCATGTGTATCATGCCTTCTTTATCCATTCATCTATTGATAGATACTTAGGTTCCTTCTATATTTTGGCTATTATAAATAATGCTTTAATGAACATAGTGGTGCATCTACCATTTCAAATCATATATATATATTTTTTAAATAATCAGCATTAAATTTTCACTTTTTATATATCTTTTTAAAAAGTAATCAGCATTAAAATTTCACTTAGAAAGAGAAAAATGCATTGTTTTAAGAATCCACAATAGTCCTAACTAAATGTACACACAAATGTTTCAGTGCCTAGATGGCTCAGTCAGTTAAGCCTCTGACTTTTGACTTTGACTCAGGTCATGATCTCAGGTTGTGAGACTGAGTCCCGCATCTGACTTTGTGCTGGGCACAGAGCTTGCCTAAGATGCTCTCTCTCTCTCCCTTCTCCTCTCTCCCTCTCCCAAAAAAGAAAAAAAAGAAGCAAAAAACCAGACTCTTTTTTTTATTATTATTATTTATTTAAGAGAGAGAGAGCACACACAAGCTTGTGAGCTTGGGGAGGGGAAGAATCTAAGGCAGACTGAGTCAAAATCAAGAGTTGGATGCCTAACTGACTGAATCACCAGGGTGCCCTGAGAAACCAAACTCTTAAATACAGAGAACTGATGGTTGCCAGAGAGGAGGTGGGTGAAGGGATGGGTGTAAAAACATATGAAAGGGATTAAGAGGTACAAAATTCCAGTTATAAAATAAATAAGTCATGAAGATGAAAAGTACAGCAACAGAGAATATAGTCAATAATACTGCAATAACTTTGTATGTATGGTGACAGATGGTGACTACACTTACTGTGGAGAGCATTGAGTAATGCAATGAATTGCTGAATCAATATATTGCACACCTAAGGGACACCTCACACCTCCTCTGACACAAATTTTTTAAATAAATTAAAAAATAAAGATTCCTATGCATAGTACTTTATGAAGTACCTAAAATATCACAATACCTAAAAAAAAAAAACTTGCATACATTTAATTTTTAAGTAATTTCATCAATTATTTTCAACACTACAAAAACTACAGAATATATTAATAAATTATAAGGAAATAAAGTTCAATTCAATATAAGAAAATAAAACTTATGCCATCAGAACTTCTTA